CCACCTCCCCCTCCCCCCTTCCATTTGATTGAGCACCTACCGGCTTCGTTGTTCCTTGCGCCTTGTCTTGTCCTTGATTAGCGAAGTTTTATTTTGAATGAAAGGCTTGATTTGTTCTCTTTGACTATATTTCACAATTGTTTGCACATTTGCCTAGTAAACGTACACCGTAGCCCTTTACACACCGGGAATGTAGCTTAACATTCTGTTCATTCAACATTGTGTCTGATTGTTTACATTCTGCAAATTATGACCTGTGTTAGATTTTGAAAGAGGATGGTCTGTAATTCGATCGCAACCTTACCTAGAATTGAAATTATCAGCTATTGGGTTCTATGGGTCGGTGGTGTTTTTTATTCAACATATCATGTTTATCTTGTCAGCGATAGTGAGTATACATTATGTTGTCTCAACAGGTGTTCTGTTTCAATGTTAGGTAATAAGTACTTTTGTTCATTTTGACTAACCAGCATTCGGAAAGCAATTCGGTATTGAAGAGTTGGGGCCTGGCTGGAGTATCATTGGGAGAAGAAAGGACATTTCAGACTACGAATGGCAGACGTGGCTTCCATTTTTGTGGAACCTCCTTCCTTGGTTTATTGTTCACCATGTTGGAGCAGAACTGTTACGATTGTGTCAATGCAAGGTATTATTTCATGTATTCCATTTATACATATGTATTACGTTCTAAACATATAGTTTGCATGAAATTACTGTTAAATTTCTCTTTTGTTATTTAGGAACTCTTACGAATTTGGTACATTTCGGTGACATGCTTGTTCACAACAAACTACTGTGGCCTGATTCCTTTGATACCTATGATAATATCACCTATTTTTCTCTTTTTTATCGCTAAATTGAAAAGAACCTTGATGTGTTGGCTGACCAGCATTTTTCTGCTCATAGGCCTCAGTTTATTTCAAACCTCTTTGGTAAGACAAGTTACACTCCCAATTTTCGGAATCCCTTATTGCTGTTTTATTCTTTGCAATCAATTTTTCCTTCTAATTTTTTTTCTTAACAGTTGTCTGATGAACAAATTATGGTACTTTGTGTGTGCTGTGCTTGGGCTCAATTACGATGCATGAGTTTCTGCATGGACTGGATAAATGGTGAAACATGGTCAGTTGCACCTTTGCTGAAAGATGACTGCAGTCCTCAAGTTGTCCGTTTACTCTCCTACATATTTTATCTGCCTCTTATGTTCCTTGGACCCTTTGTACCTTATAAAGATTTTGAAAGAGCTGTGAGTTTAAGAGGTTTTAATGTGTAAGTAATATTTTGCTTTTTGTTGTAGCATGTTTTCAAGCAAATATTTTCCTCTTTTGCTTCTCTTGTAGATACAGGCAGATATTACATCCTGGCAGTGTTTTAAAATGAGAATTCTAAGACTACTGTTAAACAGTATACGTTTTCTGGGTTGGATGTTCTTTACAGAACTCTGCCTTCATTTTATTTACTGCAATGCTATTCAGCTTCATTATGAGGTATCTTGTCAATATGTTTCCCTATTGCACAAACCAAATATTTCAATTGTCATACTGTGCTTTACTTCTTATTATGATTCAATAGGCTCTTCAATTTTTAGACACTTGGACACTTTTTGGCTTAGCATACTGCATTGGTCAGTTCTTCTTAAATAAGTATGTTGTGATCTATGGACTAATGGGCACTTTGGCAGAGTTTGATGCTTTAAATACTCCACCAGTCCCTCGTTGCATAGCCCACATTTCTATGTACTCAGATATGTGGCGCCATTTTGACCGTGGTTTCTACAATTTCCTTAGAGGGTAATACCCTTTTCTCTCTCTCTCTCTTTTTAATTGATTTTATATGGTGAAAGTGGTTCTCTTGTTAAATGTACTTTAAGAAATTTTCCATTTTCTTTCAGGTATATATATGACCCATTACTTGAACAATTTTCGACTGATAGAAAGCGTCATATACTGCTGACCACAGTTTGTTTTGCATTTGTGTATGTTTGGCATGGACTATCACTGAACATATTTATTTGGTCTCTCTGCAATTTTGCAGGAATTATACTAGAGTCACTTGGCAGAGAGGTAACTACTCTTCCCTCTTACCAAGAGCTTGAGGTAGGTCAAGTGAACCAGCTTTCTAAATTTCTAGTATACGTAGTTTAGTTCCTGCTTTGGTTTTTCTCTTAATTTGAATTTATTTTTAGAGGAAACTCTCACCCGCTAATGTTCGCCGGCTCAGGGCATTGGCTACTAGTCCTCTGTTCATAATGTCTGCTATGACCATGTTCTTCTTTTTGGGAGGATATGAAGTAGGCATTGTCTTTGTTGCGCAAATTTACAGCAGTAAGTACCTTTCATAAGCAGTATTTAATACATAATTCACCTTCTAATTTAATTTTGGTTCTTTTTTAGGCTCTCTTTTGCGTTTTGCTGTTCTCCTTCTCTTTGCATACTGCATGTGTCAAGTATCCATAGAGATAAAATTGATCAAAGAGAAATATGTGAATACTCAACAAAAAGTGAATTAAATATTTTAAAAAGAATATAATGCAATTCATATTCCATGGTGAACAAGGTTGAAGTATCAGGTCAACTGTGCTTTATTTCATGACATAGGAAGCTAAACATTACAGATCACTAACTTTGTTTCACTTTGAACAAGTCTGAACATAAATAGCAGCTACCTCGTCAACAATCTCAATCACTTCAAATGTGTAATTTGAAGGAGAGTTTTAGCCATCTACTTCTTGCTATCACAATCTATGTCCAATATTTTAAAAAAGATTATAAACAATTTCTAATTCCCTTAACTACTCCAGATGGTATGGTAGGGAATCTGAAAGACTCACATTTTGCACTAGCAACTGCACCTGGTCAAATCAGCTGCTCCAGAGTTCTAAAAAAGTTGGAAACCAAAGCAATGGTATAGCAACAATTCTTTGCCTACGTAATTCGGTTAGGTTCGGGTAATTAATACCATGATGTAGTAAAAACAAGTTTAAGTACACTTCCAGACAGTTTGATGTTATGAATATCTGAAAATATAAGAGAAAATACAGTAATATTGTCCTCATTCACTTCAAGCCAAAGATCACTTTTGGCATGAGTTAAATCATAAGATTAAAATCCTTTAAAAATAAGGATATCACACTGCTTTGGCTTGAATACAACCACAAATACAAATGCCTGTCTTGTAATAGTACAAGACAAGTGTACAATAGTCTATGTTCAAAATTTACATCCAAATTAACTAGTATAATCCTGGGTAATTAAGCTATCCAGGGAAAACTAATATTACCAACCTATATTGCTTGCAATGTCAGCAACAGTGAGCAATAAGTCTACTTTCAGAGGGAATTCAGCACTTTAAAAATAAAGAGCTTTCAAAAAGAGATGGCAGTTTCAGTAAACTCAAAGAGAAATTAAAACACTTTCGTTTATATTATTCCATAAATAAAGGAGACAGTTTTAATTGATACCAATTGAGACCGACCTGGATCTTCTGTCTCAAAGTCTTACAGAAGAAGGATATATAATGATGTTCTAAACAGAGCTGGACATGGCCTGATTTAAGACAATAACATCCCATTCAAAATAAATTAGATTTAATTTACATTATAAATAAGAATGCTTAGATAAGCCCATTGGGAGGGAAGAACCGAACCGATCCCAACAAAACTTGCTAACCAATTCAGGTCATAAATAAAGCACACACACAAAAGAGACAGGATTGGACAGATCGTAGAAGGCCAAACTCGGGGTACAGAGATATTGAGTATAAAATAATGTGGAGCAAAGGAGAAGATAAAAATAAAGATAAAAAGGGGGAGAAATAAAGCCAATTTACAAACACAGAAAGAAAGCCTAAAACTCACTGGCTATAAATTGAGACTATTTTACAAATGTTAATTATCCAAATTTTAGTCTCCTATGAGAGGCCTTCAACAAGTCTGACTCACCAACCATTATCACCTCATACAGGTTTCAACACACAGGATACCTTAAATAATGCGCAGTATTTACAAATGACAAATAAATACAAAATGAAGTACAGTACTACTTGAGAACACTTGATGAGTACAGGTCTTGTCATCAGGCAGATTTCATTGCCACAGGGATGCTAGCAGAATTGATAAAATTACTTCGGCACTAGAACACTTCCATCCCAAAAATATTCCATCTGCTAGGGGTAAAAGACAACACCTAAAAGCAGCAGTAGTGCTAGTTTTTGGTCCAGTACAAAGAAAAATAAAATAGAACCAGGATTGACACCCATGATTTCCTTGGGTTTGGTTGGTGAATTAAAGCTGCGATCTTTACTTCTTCACAAGCTTCATCAGACCATCGGTAGACATGGACTTGGGCCTCTCCAGAGGAAGACCAAGAGCACGGTCCCATACCAAGCTGGCCAGAACACCAAGAGCACGAGACACTCCAAACAGGACAGTGTAGTAACTCATCTCCTTCATGCCGTAATACTGTAACATTTAAATAGATGGTTATTCTCAGCTCTAATCAATTGTTTGATAGAATGGTATGCTGATGTAGTATACCTGAAGAAGGACACCAGAGTGGGCATCAACATTAGGCCATGGGTTCTTCACCTTGCCAGTCTCCATTAGGATTGGTGGCACAATCTTGTAAACCTGAGCCACCAGCTGAAAACCAGAACATTCCCATGAAAATCCAAACAAAAATTTCTTTCTATTACCGCTTATTCACCAAATTTATACCTTGAAAAGAGGATCATTAGGCAGGTGCTTTTGAGCAAACTCGCGCTGGCATGTGTAACGAGGGTCAGTCTTGCGCAGCACAGCATGACCATACCCAGGTACAACTTGTCCTCCCTTCAGTGTCTTCCAGATGAAGTCTTTCAGCTGCTCATCAGTTGGGGACAAACCAAGAGCTTCCTTTACCTTCATCAGCCACACCAACACCTAAAAAGAATACTTGTCATAAGAGGGCTTCCAAATTGTCTAACATGAAAACCATGAAGAACACTTACTTCTTGGTTGGCCAGACCATGGAGAGGACCAGCTAAACCATTCATGCCACCAGCAAAGGACAAGTAGGGATCAGAAAGAGCTGAACCAATAAGGTGAACTGTGTGAGCACTAACGTTGCCGCCTTCATGGTCACTGTAAGTTATAAAAACATAAAGAATAATGGGAAAAGAATACATGGAATATACTACAGAAACTCATTCATCTTGACCCTAATTCAGAAAATGCTTTAACAAAGTCTCACCTGTGGATGGTCAGGTACAATCTCATGAGATCAATGAACTCGGGGTTGTCATATCCCAACATTTTTACAAAGTTGGCAGACCAATCGAGGTTGGTGTCAATAGCACCAATGCCTTTTCCATCCTTAAAGCTGTTGCGGTAGATGGTGGCGGCCACAACGGGCAGCTTGGCAATCAGGTCCATGGAGTCTTCAAACACCAGCTGGGAATCAAATTAAGTTTTAAATTGGAAATATTGTGATTTCACCAAGGCAGACAAAAACAAGATACACACCTGCCAGTACTTTGATTTGTGAACTCCCTCACTGTAGGCCTTGAGGAACTTGCTTTCAGAGTTAAGGGCGGTGATGGCGGCGCTGAACTGGGACATGGGGTGCAGGTGGCTGGGGAAGTTGTTGAGCATGGTAACGACGTGAGACGGCAGTTCGGCGCGGTTCACCCATTCCTTGGAGAGGGCCTTCACCTGGAAGCCGAAAGAAATATAGAGTAACTTGTCGGACTGAAATGTAAAATCAAATCTAGTAAGAGTATAATTATTTCTTCACAACCCCCTCTGCCCCCAGCCCCACCCACCCCTTCCGGCTGACGAACACACCCCAATAAGGAAGTTTGGATGGATCACTAGGTGGTCTGCGCGGCGGGAGAGTAAACATTCTGCTGACTAGCGACACAATCAGGAGGGGTTCGGCAAGGCTAGACAAGTCGTCAGCTGGTGCCTGCAGGCATGCCTGCCCACCGAGCCGCACCAACCCTGGCACCAATCCCAAGGGTAAGCAAAAAATAGCCATCGGATGTGGAGCATCTCGTCTAAATTTCCTGCCAAGGACCCCATTGAAAATACGCAGCTGCCCCTGAATAAAACTTCAACTACCTGCATTATTCTTAGCGAGCACCATACAAAACCGACAGGGGGTATTAAACCCTTACGCAAACGGAGCGCGAATTGACACTTGACAATTGTTAGTGAGCTCCGCCGTGGGTGATTGGCTCGATATTACGGCCCCAGCCACTCAGAGCGCCTGCGGAAGCAGCAGGAGCCGCGGGAGCAGTCTAGCACGCCATTGGACCGAGTTGAAGTACTTTCGTAGTCAGTAAATCTCTAGAGGGGTGATTTCAAATCAGACAGTTGGGGACGCAGACGATCAGTTTGGGCGCAAATGCAATTTAAAGTAAGTGCGGGGACAAGCGAATCACACAACCCGGGTAGTGTGCGCTGCAGGACAAGAACATCTCTTTAGCCAGGATCAACCCTGGTTGATCAGCAGTTCTCATGAAAGGGGTGTACGCGGAGTCAAAGCCCACGCCCCACGACGGGTCGGTGCCTATACAAACTATACACTGTAAGGGATCATCCAGAAAGTACGTCCGTCATTCGCCGTTACGAACCCTCCAAGTTCAGGCAATGCAGGCTCTCATGGCGCCTGATGGGTAGGCACAATCTTGCATGCAAGTGCATGCGTGTATTGCGGGGAGGCCTACCCCGAGTTTTGCAGGCGCCGAGCTCCTGTAGTTTGCAGGATGATTTTGAGAGAAACGGGCGAACTTTCTGGACGATTCATAATTTCAAAGGCGTATTGGGAGAGGGCGACAAAGGTGTATGCACAGACAACCGTGCAACTTAAGTCGCACTCTGGACATACACCTTTGTCGTACTGCCACCATACACCTTTGTATGCATTAATATGCCGGACAGCCCATAAGCCCCCTGAGCGGGTGCTTGGCCTGCATACTACACCTTGGGAGCGCACTCTATGTGCCTTATTAAGTTGCACGTTTTTCTGTGCACACACCTTTGTCGCCCTCTACCGGTACACCTTTGAAATTACAATGTTGGCGCTCACTTCAAATTGCATTTACGCCCTAACAGACAGTCTGCGACACTGTCCTGTATCAAAACACTCATCTAGACACCGCTACACGAAATACCAAGTGATTTAGTAGAGTAGTTTTAGTAGAATAATGTTAACGCCACGGGTAAGAGATACCCGGGCTTTAAGATGTTTACCTGAGCGTCCGTGGGGATGTCGCCGGTGATGAGGAGCCAGAAGATACCTTCGGGCAGGGGCTCGGTGCCGCCGGGGGCCTTGGGCAGCAGCTTCTGGCACTCGGGGATGGAGTAGCCGCGGAAGCGGATGCCCTCGTCCGCGTCCAGCACGGAGGTCTCGCACACCAGGCCCTTGATGCCTCGCATACCGCCGTACATCTGGAAAACATTGGGCGCTGTTAACACAATCACTGGAAGAAACTCGATGCACGCCTTGCCCAGCGTCAACCCCCCACTCGCCTGATCCCTCTCATCAGAATGCGTGCTGATGCAAGGCGCCGGTGCCTCACTTTACATATCACACCCGTGAGGACGCGAAGAAGTTACGTCAAAAGTTTGCCAAGGGTCTATAACACAATACTACTCTGATAAGCTAAGTGTGCAACTGCTTAACACTTGTAAAGTATGCGATGGAAAGTTGAGTACTTGCAAGTGATCAACTTCGTAGTTGTCCATTTACAAAAGGTATTATAGATTGTGTTTTTTTTTTCAACTTTGTTGTATTGTTATGGAGAAGGGGGGGTGGGTGATTTGATAGCGATTACTTAAGCCGGGTTTGGAGAACGAGCTGGTGCAGTTCGTCTGGCCGCCGGGCTGTACGTGTCCACGCTGTCATGGATGACGTCGCTGCAGCGCGAACACGCGCGGCATCGGCGCGCCGACAGGTGCGGCACGTCGACCAGAGCATCAAACCACCCAAAGTGCGGCACTCACTTGTGCTTGAGCCCACCGCAGGGTTTGCCAAAAGGTAGGAAAAAAACAACCGGAACACGCACACTAAGTCCGTTTGGATTGTGTTGTGCATAAACGTGCAGAATTTTACACGGCCATAATATTATGCACAATTGTATGCATAACTATTGTACAGTTTGTGCATAATCATGCACAATTTGTACATAATTATTCATAAAATTTGTGCATACTTATACTTATGGCCGGATAAAATTCTGCATGTTTATGCACAATAAAATGCACAAGGGTTCAGTGTGCACCTGTGTGTCACAGGCGGGTACATCTCTGCCTCCTACCAGACGTGCTGCCCACCAGGCAGGCGGATAGATACCACCCGCTCCACCCAGGTGAGCTCCGGTGGTTTTTGCGTAGCTTTTCTGGCAACCGTCGCTCATCTTTCTCACCTCGGTGACTTGCTCGGCTTCGCTCTCACAGAGATACGGCCGCGGTTTCGCTATGCACACGGATCTGATTCTTTTTCCCATCATGTCCAAAACGTCAACGCCTGTCAAATGAGAAATAGAATCCCGCACCCTTCAGCGGAATCCAAATCCAAAGTGATCGTGCTATGGTAACTTTGTTTGTAGTTCAATGAGTGGTTTGTATTTGCCGCGCTGACGTCGCTGACGTGCGGCAGGTACATTGATTAGGGCGTCCTCGTGTCTCCTCGTGTCGCCGCGACGCGAGGCGGATGCGGCGCGAATGAGGCGACCCTGGACCTCTTTAACACGTCCCCCCCCCCCCTCAGATTCCCTTCGTGTAAGCGCGTAAGCGCATAACCAGGGCAAAGTGTGGAGGCCACGCGGCGGCACAGCTGCCATGCCCTTAAAGAAAGTCTCCGCGTGACAACTTTTCCGCCCGAGTTCCCAAGTTTTCCTTTTTGTCGGACTAGACTACTACTGTACTCTCTCTTACAGTAGCTTTCGGCCTCTCTTCCTCTCTCGGAGGAGGACAACAACCAGCCTGCCCCCCCCCCCGTTTTTTCCTCCTTAAAAAGCCCCGACCTGGATCCGCTCTGCTACTGACTTCACTGCAGGTGAGTCGAATGTCGAAGAGAATGCCTTCCGACGCGCCGCTGACGTCACACGGGCTCTACAGCCTCACTCAACGCCCTCCGTCTCCGTGCGAGGTCAAAGACGAGCGGAGCGCGGAGCAGACGAGGCTAAAATTGAAATCGCCGCGGAGCTGCGTTCGCCACGCTGCGAGGGCCGGCTAGGGCCTCCGCCCCTGAATCTGTAGCGACAACCATTCTCATGATCCGAGGGGTCTTCATCGGAAGGAATGAAAGTGAGTTGGGAACGACCCGCACCTTGCCCCGCACAGCCAGATAAAGGTAGGCGGGATGCCCTGCTTGATCTACACCCTGGTCCTGGCGAGCCCTTTGGACGGGCGAAGGACGGCGCACTGCTTACACCGACTTCCACCTACGACGACAGTCGTCCTCTGGTTTCACTTCACAATGACCGGGCGTATATTTACGTTACATCCTCAAATCTCCGATAAGCATCATGTCGCTTACACCGAGGAGCCGAGGCTGAGGTGTCCCACTCCCAAAATGGGTATACCGGGTGATTCAGAGAAGACGCAGGTGCGGGCGGGTTTGCCTACCCGCTCTGCCCTTAAGGCGCCATAGCCCCTGGGGTGCGGGCGGGTTTGCCTACCCCAGGGGCTATGGCGCCTTAAGGGCAGAGCGGGTAGACAAACCCGCCCGCACCTGCGTCTTCTCTGAATCACCCGGTACAACGAGTAGGCGAGTAGGCGAGTTGACAAGTTGAAGAGTTGAAGCGAGTTGGGCGCGATTTTACACGAGTTCGACGCGGGCAGGTGCCCCCCTCGGCTTGCACAGTGCACACATGTCTGCTACGCCTTTCCTGTACTTGGTGTTACTTTCTTGCCAGCCCGTGCCACATGTGAGCTGCCGCCGTCTCGGCGCTGTTCGCTGCATCCGACGACATCGTAAGTATACACGCGACACATGACACTGTTATCGTGCTAATCGGCCTCAATCTCAGGCTGCAGGCAACACGTCACAAAACGCACCTGCCGTTATCATTCAAGACTTCTCGCAGCATCTTGAAAGTGCCGCCGCCAGCGCCCCGAGACCGTTCTACACTGTACTAGGTGGGATGGGACGAGGGGTGAGGGGTCCTTTACTATACACAAATACACACGTATGCCGATTTCTGTTTTTCCTTGATTTCTCTCTCTCTGATTCCCCCCCCCCCTGATTTTTTATGAGAAGGAAGGGGGGGGGGGCGGACTGATTATTTTTAGTGAACCCTTGGCGCCGTGGGTACATTTCGCAAAGGTTCCCGTCGAACTCCCCTCCCCATGTTCGGGCGAGAAGTGTTGGAGCTGGGCGCGTCCGAAAAGTGTCAGCTGCAGTCGACCAACCAGTACGTACAGTTAGCCACAACCCGCCTGAGTGTCACTGGTCAGCAGTTCCTTGGCCTACGAGGCTGCCGGGTGCGGGGGTGCCGCATGCGGCCGCCTAGGCGCAGGTGGCCGGCCTGACCGCGGCGAGTACTACCTACGGCCCAAACCCACGTGGCCGACCGCGAGCGAGTTGGCATACCAGAGCGCGGCGAGCGCGGCTGGCGGCGGGGCGGGGCAAAGACCGGTTCAGCGGGGAGTGCGGCGGGCGGCACGGAGACAATACTACTCGGGGGCATTACCATCGAGCCAGGCAAGCGGGCAAAGGGGCAACCGGACATAGAGGCCTGTCGTGTCTGGGCAGTCTGGGGGGAACCATCAGCCTAGAGCCTAAAAGACCTACTGATTAGTACAAATTTAAGCAAATCCCCCCCTCCTTCCCGCACAAGGAAAGAAGAGCTAAATGGACATACGTAGGCATGGGCTCCCCTCCCAGAATGGCGTGGATCGGACTGCCAAGCCTGTCAAGTCGGGCAACGCCCCGGCAAGGTTACAATAAGGACATGAGGGAGGGTCGGTGATGGGGCTGCATAAGGGCCAGGGACAGTCTCATTGTGCGTGTGTGAATCAGAAGGGGCTTAGCACGCGACAGGAACAAGCCCCAAGGATATCATATCGTGTGGCAAACAGTGGGGATCGGATCCGCAGTGTGATCGCTCGCTCTAGCCGAGACAAAGGACAGACAGTGATAAGAGCGCGTCGGGTAATGACTCGTGACTCCTGGCCGCGAGGCCGGCGGGCGGAGGAGCGGGACAGCACAGCCGCGGAGGGTCCCTGCCCGATAAAACACCCCCAGGACATCATTTAACAAATCATTACAAATCTTTACAAAATCCATCCATGTTTGACCCGAAACCATCGGACGTTCTAGACTAGCGGCCGAAACACACGCTGGCAGTCGAGATGGAGGACGTGGCATTACAGGTTGATCAAGACGATTCGGTCATAGCAGTATCAGTCCAAAGGTGTGTGTGGGAGTAGGGTCGGGTCGATCCGCACTTGAACTTGCGTTGAGGATGAAAAACAAAGTAAGTCGGTCCTCTTGACGTTGTTATGTACTGTACACAAAATGATTAGGGACAATAAATCGGACTAGAGTTCAAAATGAAAATAAACAGGCATTTGGCGCCGCGGCCACCGCAAGACCTCTGCCAAGGAACGCGAGGACCCATACGCCTTCACCCCCCGCAAGCGGGAGGGTGGGGAGGGGAGGAGTTGTTTCGAAGGGGACAAGCAGGGCATACCGAAGGACCGTTGGGTCGCCGTGAGCCAGGGCCGAGCTGCCCTGAGCTGCGCTGGGCAGCGAGATGAGGAGCAAGGTCAAGGAAGTCATGGGCCCCGCAGGCCGCAGGGAGCCCAGTAATGTATATTTAGTGCCGCGAGCAGGCGCCCAGAGCAGGCCAAGCGCGTCACAGTCGCGTTGGAGATTGTGCGGCGGGCACAGCGTCACGTGACGAGTAAGAGACGCACCAGCGGGGGTAGGTCAGTGCGGGAGGCGCGGCAGGGAAGGCCCCGCCCCCACACACAGACCGCCCCTAGTCACGCCAAGGGCGACAAGTGACGCCACGCGGCACCGTGCCAGTGAACTCGCGGGCAGCGCGTCGCAGCGTAACCAAGTTGTTTTTGACCTTTTCGCACTTTTCCGTCAATATCTCATGAACGGATCCTTCTTAAACTTGGATTTTAAGCGGCACACGTACGCTCAGAGTCACCTTAATGCCGAAAGACGAGCGAACCCTTTACATAGGCCCCAAACACACTACAGCGGCAGGAGAGACGGGTGTACCAGGGGTACTCGTCACGTCAGGCCCCGTCACGCCCCGCCACGCGCCGCAGTCCGTGACACTGACCTTGCCCGGCCAGCGGCCTCGGCTCGCAAAGCCCCACGCGAACGCCATGTCCAGTCTCGTGACGTGAGGCGGCCGGCGGCGCCCGGGTCACGCATAGGTGTACTACTCCTCCCGCCAGAGCATGGCTGCCCAATACTTTGCGTGCAAAGAGGGAACGACGTTGCTGGCGCTGCCACGTCGCCTAAAATGTATCCAAAGTGTTCCAGAATCTGCCTGCATGTGGGCTGTGGGGCCCCTGCACCCCCCGTGTCTCTGGGCGCCGAGTCCCGCCCGCAGCACATCGTCAAGCGCCGCGTCATGGGCACTTCGTGCCTCACGAGGGGCGGTCTTCTCTTCTCGTGACGTCCTGATCAAGCCTATCACATCTCATCGGATCATCATCCGACCGGACCCAACACATGGGCCTGACACACTGACACGACGTGTGCGGCTCACACGCCTTACATAAGGGAAGATAAGCATTAAGTCACAGGTCGCGGCCCTGACGGCCCTGACACTGAGCGGCATGGGGCCCGGCTCCTTTCCACTTATCGGAAAATGAACACAACTAAGGTACATTTTAGAACCCTAGCTGCACTGGGAAAATAAGATTACACCTGGAGGCTAACTGTAGCTTTTATTTGAACGGATATGCGCTCTCAGAATGAGAAAGCCATTACTAATTATCACTAGGGCAGATATGAATAAACTAATCTCACTGTTTTCATCACATGCACTAAAGTGCCAAAAGTACATAAGAAAAGTTCAACTCACCATGTCAACGGTGACATCGCCGACAACTTTGTTGCCAAACTCTTTGCGGAATGTCTTGACTCGTTCCTGTTCAGCTGGGATCTTCTTCTCCAGAACGCTCTTGAGGTCTGTTGAGGCATCGCTGAGGTTGCGTAGGAGGATGGAAAGTGTTGGAAGGACCTGTGCAATGTCATAGAAAATGTTGTAGAAGGAGTTGAAGACTAAAAGAACCCTTCTTCAAACTCTTCAGGAACATTTATAGGGACAACCCGATTTTAAAACATGTACAACATAAATCTTTAATTCTTGGAAAAAAATAAATTACTAAAAATGCTTGAATAACAAGAAAGACATATGGCAGAAAATGCTCACTGAATACCAAAGTGACTCTTCCACACTGATCATTGAAATTTTTTTAGTGTGTTAAAGCAATAATATTGAAATTAAGTAAAGTACTTGAAAAATTGTGATTTTTAGTTTTTAGTTTTCCACCAGAATTTAACAGTAGAATAGAGTAACATTTGACAATGAATACCCTGAAAAGAGGCTGGCGGTTTTTTAAGTACAAGCTGAATGACTTTGTGAATGTCAAGGGCACACCACTCTCACTCAAAAGTAGGTTTGCCAAATAGGGCTGAGGTAAGGCAATAATACCCGCTAGAAGAAGCAAAGGAAAAAAAAACTCTTGAGAGCCCAGGCCACAATTATCAAAAATACCTCATGTAAGCACTTTCAGTGGAAAATGTTGACAGGAGTTAGAGAACCAAAACTAAAAGGACGGGAAAATTAGGGGAAAGGCTAATGATCGACCCGGAAAATAATGAACAATAAAGCTCAAGCGGGAAAATAAAAAATCCATAAAAGGTTAGAAAAATTGGCGCCGCCGCGACGAGAGGTGAGGGGCAACTATTGATCCATTCTTTCAGAAAAATAAACTATATATTGATCGATGGTGGCATCCCGAAAACTTTGGTGATGAATATTTTTAACATTATATACAACATCTGAGAAACACACCAATCAGTACTAGTACTGAGAAGGGTAGGTCATGAGTGTACTGTGGAAGGTAACATGCTCTTAACATCTCCTTAAGATTTAAGGTTATTTGCGAATAGCAGACGACTTTGTGTTCGGCGTATGATAGTAAGTAATCCCGTACCTGATTTGTTTCAGCGAGACGCGATGCAGTTACTCGGAATAATGCCATTTCGCCGCCTCACGGTTACCGTTCGCACCGGACTGACCTTAAAACTCAACTTTTCAAAGTGGAAGAGGATCCGCGAGCCGAGTTCGGGATCGAAGTGGTGCGCTCCTTTGCTGACAGATCGCAGCACTGGCGTATTTTTCGTATCATGTTCAACACCATTTCAAACAAGAAACAACTTAAAACATTGGCGTATTGTGCGGTAAGAAATTCCGTTGGTTGTAGAAATCAACCTTCCCGTCTTATCTTTTAGTTTTAATATGACTTAAATGTACAATCTCTACACATGTGTTCACTCTAACGAAACATTTTTTAAGTTGCCTGTTGGTAAAGCTGGATACTGCCTGCCAAAATGGGTTCGTTCAGAAATAGACAATGCTGTCTGCCATAGTGACATTTAATATGGCTTATTGTTACTAGTAGCTCAGGAACAAAATGCTGTGCTTGCTAAATTTTTAATGTTTATATTTTAATTGACCAGGTAAGCTGGACATCAGCCACGAAAGTTTCTGAAAATAAGTCATAGACTTTTCTCGGTGCGTTCCGTTAGGTTCCGTTGCCAAAAACAAATGAATTAACACTATTCACCCCTCCTTTTCCCCTTCCCCGGTTTGCAAAAGAGTTTGACAGCTGTCTTCTTTCATCTTGCCTTAATCTATTTTCTACGATTAAGGATATTTAAGGTAATATGAGTTAATAGTGGCTATTCGTCGGCATGTACTATACTTTTATGTAACTCAGAGAATGAGGATTTTTTTATTTTTCCACAGTTAGTCTTGATCCTTCTTTTTCCAAAATAATCAACCTCTTCTTTCAAGTTTTTTTTAAAAATGTTTTCAGAACACAATTTAAAAGGAGCTGAAGACAGTCATGGCAGATAAGCCTTACCCGTCTTCCTGTGATACTTTTGTGGTGCTGCCACCTCTTACCTCTCATAAAGGAATAATATTTGGCAAAAATTCCGATAGACCCAGAGATGAGGTTCAGGAGGTAGTCTACTTCCAGGGGCAAGAGTATCCACCAGGATCCAAGTTAAAGGTTCGTGTAGTAATATATATTATAATATTAGTCATTTCGACTGTGACAATTCAGTGTGTTCATGAGCAATTTAAAATGTATTTTGCTCTTAAGAATATTTTTACTTGTTTACCTTCACAGTGCACTTACATTGAAATTGAACAAGTTTCCAAAACTTTTCCTGTTATTTTGAGCAAACCCTCGTGGATGTGGGGTGCTGAAATGGGAGCCAACGATCAAGGATTGTGTATCGGTAATGAAGCAGTATGGTCATTCTTTGAAAAAGCCGAAGATAAAGAGGAGAAGCTATTGGGCATGGATTTTGTGAGGTAGTCCTTTAACTTTTAATAGGTTGTTATTGTTGTTGCTGGATTTTTCCTCCATTTAAAGGTTTTAACTTGAGTTTTCTGTTACACTAGACTTGGTCTAGAACGTGGAGCAAGTGCTAAAGAAGCACTTACGATTATCACAGAACTTTTAGTAAAGCATGGCCAAGGTGGCCCTTGTTCTGATACAGATCCTGATCTCACATACTTCAATTCTTATATAATTGCTGATAAGGAAGAAGCTTGGGTGTTGGAAACAGTTGGGAAGCTGTGGGTTGCTGAAAAAATTGAGTGTAAGACTGTTTTCTTTCAATTTTGTGCTCTCCAATAGCTGGTATTTAATTTTAATTTTTTAACTTGCCTGTTTCAATTTTGCCCATTTTAGCTGGATTTAGAAATATTTCTAATGCTCTGAGCATTGGTACTAAGATTGACCTTAAATGTGCTGATCTCTATGATGTTGCAAAAAGTGAAGGTTTGTGGGATGGAAAGGTTAGTACTGGTAGCAATTTTATATCCCAAAATGTATCTAAGCCAAGGAATAATTAAAGTATCAATGACATTACCCAACTTCCAAACATTTCCCTGCTAAACTTACATCTTATCTAGGGCTGCCTTTTAAAACTTTGTTTATAAACTGTTGTAATCAAACTGTTTTTCCAAAATGCTTTTTATTTTTGTAGAATGTTTTTAATTTCAAGAAAATATTTGGTGATGATAATACTCCATACCGTGAGAAGATGGGTAGTCAGTTGTTGAAAGAAATGACTAAAACCAAATTATTTACTATTCATGACATGTTGTCCATTCTACGAAATGAAAGAGCAGGAATTTGTATGAGCTACAATGGTAGCTTTGTTTCTACTGGCAGCCAGGTATTAATAAAACTAAAATATGTTCCAGGAGGATTTCAACTTTGCCAAGATTTTTGGCAAGTCAAATGATTGTGCAGAGGGAAGAAAAAAATGCGGAGATGATATGCTTGCTGAACTTACTGTCGGAAACCAATTTTGTATTGAGAATATGTTGAAAGTCTTGCGTAATAAGGATTCAAACATTTGTAGAGGAAGAGATCATTCTCATCCAACAGCAAGTAGTCAGGTGATTTACTTGCTTGCCTGTCTGCTCTAATTATTTTTATGTTATTCTATTTTATTTCTGACTGCTCTGCTCAAATAAATTCAGTCTTTAGCTCCTAGACTTTTGTAGAAAACCTAAATATTTTTTTTTATTGTTTTGTTTTTTTTCTCTTTGCACCTCATATGAGTTTTATTTATATCATTTGGCTAGTCTTAAAGCTTATTCTACTCTGATTCTGTTTGTAATTTCTTTCTTTTCCCCAGGTGTCTGTTTTGTCTCCACCTGAGAATCCAAAACCAAGTTGCCATTGGTTCACTGGAACTCCTGATCCCAGTATCTCTGTTTACAAGCCATTCGTGTTTACTCCAAATGTTCAGATTTCGCACCTCACTGTTAGCCCTGTTTTTGAGCCTGATCCTGCAAAGGTATGTTAATAAATTTGCCAACTAGTTTTTTAGCGCCAAAAGTACGTATGTGATTTTGGTAAACCTTTTCTTTCAGGTTTTGCCACGCTTTCAGACCACTGTTGATCGATCTCATCCCTTATATAAGTTTCATAAAGATGCCACCAGTGAAAGTAACCCAAATCGAAATGAAGTCATCTCCAAGTTACGCTCAATGGAGGAAGGTTGTATTGCTGAAGTTCAAGCATTTTTGGACAAGTTTGAACCAGGACAACCACTTAGTGAGATGGATGAACTTCTGAAAGATATTGTTGAGACCGAAATTAAATTCTACAAGTAATTGCTACTTTTTACTGCCTTGTAGTTCATGGCACATCTGCTCTGCTGGCTAGATTTTTTCTATCTTTCTTATTTATGATTTTACTGCAGAAAGAATACAACCAAAGTATTTTTATTCTAATTAACTAAGCAGGCTTGAAAAGACATCATTTTGCTATTGACTTATGTTCAGAACAATTTATTTGGGGGAAGAATTGGGAGAATTGTTTATTAGTTGGTACATTAATATGTAACTAGTACTTCATTTTATGATATGTGTTCTTTGCAACTGACCAATGGCTAAAATTACTTGAAGTGTCGTTCTTTTGAAACACCTGCCTTGTGATCTAGATAATATTCCTTAACTGTCAAGTCAATTTACCTAAGGAACAGAGATTCGTTACTGAGACGCTAGTCGCTGTGACATGTGTCATTATACTAAAAGTTGATGTCAGAGTGACGTAAATGACATCATTTTGACGCCAATATGACCTCAGTTTTTAGTAAAATGAATCACGTCACTTTGACTAGTGTGGGAATAACATCAAAATCATGTTGTTTTGACGCATTTGTGACAAATCGCTGTTACTTGGGTACCTTACTTGATTTGTACAAATCTATGGTGTTAATTTTGAAATTAGTTGTTTGTTTTGTCTTTGGATTTAAAACATTGTCAAGTCAGTTTTCTGTTAACAGATGTTTCCTAATTTTATTTTGCTTATCCTCTTCAAGTGGTTGCTAGTGATTTTGATTTTAATTTTGTTAGGTACACTATATATAAAATGACAGTATTGATTAGAATTTTATTGTAAAGCTTACCGTAGTATGCTTATAACATCACTGCAATAGTACAATATTGTTCCATAAACTAAAGTGGGAATGCAATCTCACAAATATTGCCTAAAACATGACGACCAACAAAGTCAGCTGGATATCTAAGGGAAGGTAATTTTTTAATACTCATTAATTGCTTAGGATATCCAGCAAAACAATCCAGGGCAGTTACGTGTTGTTGTTTACCATCTTGTGATATTCTTTGTATCTATGATTGCGTGATATGAATGTTAGACTTGTTTTTACTTATTTATAAATGTTTGACATGTAGGCTGGACTGAACTGCTGGTTGAATAAATCCCCTGCTACCATTTAAGGCAAGCAAGGTTTAGAAAACGTTGCACCAATGTAACAAGATTTCGAAGGTCATATTGTTCCTATTTGATAACTTACACTGTTTCTATTGAATGCCTTAAGTAAATAAGTACATAGTTGGCCATCCTTTCTGTTTTCATATAATTGCAAAGATATGAAATATCACTTAGCAGTCTCTTCCTCCTACTACTTATTGTTTACTTTTATCTAAATGGAAAGTACAATAGCCATTAGTTTGGTTTTTAGTATATTTATAAGTTCTGTGCAGTCAAACTATTGTTTCCATATTGGCTGCCACCTGCTTTTCTTTTTTCTTATCTTTTTCATATTTCACCTTTTCTTCTGTAATTGTGATATTGTACGCTCAAAATAGTCCAACAACTATGTCAATCTGCACATTTTGTACACCTTTA